TTTACTTGTGGATGAAAGCAAACTGATGGGCCTGTATGACACAGGGTCAGTGACAGGTTTTCCAGACTTATGTATGGGTGATATAACAGCAGTCTTCCATGGCGAAGGAAAGTGCCCCAGGCATAACATACTGTTTATGATTTTGGTTAGTTTTAGGATCATAAGGGTTCCCATATTCTTCAGCATCTTGTTACTAACAGAGTTGAGTCCAGGGCTTTTCTTGGTCTTGAGTTTCATGATATATTCAAAGACCTCTGAAGGCCTGACAGGAGGAGTGTTGGCAGTGCGTGGTTTTGAGAGGAACTTTGTTAGTGTTTGTGATACAAGGTGTTCTGTTTGAGAGTGGGATATGTTGTTAGTGCAGAACTGAGTAGCATAGTGATCAGCGAGTGACTCAGCTTTCTCAGTATCGGTGTAGGCAATTCCTTGAGGGCCAGTAAGGGGCGGAATGTTTGTGTGGCATCTCAGAAGCTGGTTTGTAGCTTTCCAGATATTATCTTCATCTGTGGAGAGTGAAGAAAGGTAGACGGCCCAGTCGTGGTCTGTTTGTTTACGTGTAAGGGCCCTGACCTGGCGGTTAAGTTGGTTGAGTAGTGCTCTATCGGGAGGGTATCTTGATCGCTGCCACTCTCTCCTTGCAGCATTCCTTCTTTGGATGAGTTGCTTGATTTCATTATTTGGCTTGATTTTGTTGTTGTCATATACAGGTTTGCTATTGTTTTCCAGAGCATTCTGCAGCTGAGTGGTGAAATCACTAACTATAGCATCTAACTCATCGCCTGTTTGTGCTGTTGGAATGTGTATTGTGGTGTTGTTTAAGGCTTTGGTATATCCAGACCAATTAGTAATAAAGGCCTTTTTGTGTGGTGTGTTACAGACGGTGAGGTCAAGATCAATTAAAACTGGGTTATGGTCCGATGACAGTTCATTTAAACTGTCAACGGATTTAAAAGTACAACCCTTGAGCAGAAAAAAGTCAAGGATCGAGGCAGACCTTCCGTCGTAACGTGTTGGGGTTTGTGGGGCTGCAATAGTGATACCGGCCTTAGTAGCGAAGCGGTGTATCACGTTTCCAAGGAATGTGTTGTGAGTGCAGTTCCACGCACGGTGTTGTGCATTAAGATCTCCACCTATGATGACTTTACTGTTGAGTTTAGCAAGTACGTCAAAATCTTGTACAATGTTTACATGTGATCTGTTGTTAGATGGGACATAGGAGAGATAAAAGTGACTGGTCGTGTGGTGAGTGGTGTGACTGTGATAGCTAGGGCTTCCAGGCCTAAAAGCTGTGGCAGTGTTGTTTGGTAGTGGGCAATGGAGCGCTTAATTAGGATAATTAACCCCCTCCAGGGTGACGGTTGATTCTCCTGCGATCAAGACGATAGAGCACATAGTTTGCAATTTCGAATGACACTGCAGGACCAAGCTTGTGTTCCTGTAGGAGGAAAACATCAGGGCTATACTCATTTATAAACAGACGTAATTCATCAATTTTGTGGGTTAAGCCATTTGCGTTCCATGTAATTACACGAAAGTTACAGTCCATAATTTAATTAAGTCTCTATCCCGTGTATTTCTTCAAAGATAAGGTGCAGGACTTGCATCTTATTCCAATAGATTATTGCACTTTCTTAACTCGGGAAGCTTACTTTTGTAAATTTTAATAACTCGGCCGAGGCCGTAACCAAAAATGTTTTGAACTTCAGTCATAATTTTAAATATCTCAGAAATTTCAGATATGCTATTATTATCAACATTATTTACATGACTATTGTTATTGCCAGAATATTTACTTTTATCCTTATTGCTACTAGATTTTTGTTGATGTCTATTTTCCTGCGCAGCAGCAGACGGTTGTACAGAGTTAACAGTCGCCGTATCAGGCTCAGTGGGTGCTTCAGTATGAACTGGAGTAGGCTTTAAAACTTGAGCATAGCTGAGGCCAGGTTTGGTGGAAGAATTTTTAGGTGTTTTTTTGACTGATGGGAATTTCGGGCAACCACGATATGAAGCCACGTGGGGCCCAAGGCAGTTTGCACATTTAGGTGTTTCAATACGGCCCTGGTAATCACAATTGCCAGTTGGATGGAATCCCGCGCACTTGACACATCGCGGTGCCACGTGGCAGTTTTCAGACGAATGATGCCATTTCTGGCAATTGTGACACTGAGGGATTTGATTCTTAGCAATATACTTTTCAATTTTGATACTGAAATACATCAAATAATTTATACTATAAATATCATCAGAATTCTTATCTGGTATAATCTGCACCTGATACAACGGCATTGGTTGTTTTATTTTAAATTTAGTCAATTGCACAACTTTGTGCACATTGAAATTGTACTGCCGAAGGGAGTCCTTAATGATATCCACATCGGCATCAATGGGCAGTCCTCGTATCACCACCTTAATAGGTTTTTTGTGTGCCGGATTGACAACGTAATGTTCAATTTCCTGATCAAGGAAATGTTGGCTAAGGAGTCGATGGTCATTATCAGTAGCGGGTTCAACCTTGAGGAATTCCCCGCTAACTCGGCCACAGAAATTGCAGTCAGGAAGAGCAATTTTTAAATTTATTAGGTAAAAGCGCAGAATAGGCCTCATCAACAAAGTTCAGTAGGCGGAGCTGTGTGACGTTCATAAATGGGTGGGACTAAGCTTGTGACGTCACAATGTAGTCTCGCATTTACACTACGCGTACTTTCTATTTTCTCTTAAAAATAACAATAATAAATTGTTTATTATTGTAAATTAATATCAAATTCTTTACTTTAATTTACATTTCTAACATTTAAGCTTAGGCGTTACTGATAAGAAGTATAATAAATTGTTTATATTTAAAATTACCATGGTACAGTGAGCGAATTCTACCAATTATTTAAAACAATAAACAAACGTCGCAGTCTCTGATATTGTAGAGCTTCAATACTTCTAAGATTTTTATTAAAGCATTTATACAATAAATTTTTTTTAAAAAAATTTAAATTCATATTGTGGAAACATTTCAATTTTATCACTTTTACAAATTACCTTTCTTGCTACTTAACGACATAATTCCTTACATACCAAAATTAGACAATTTTCATTATTTTCTAAAAATTTTAAACTTTAATAAAAAAAGGAGAATATTTTTTATTGCTTATGAACATCATTACACAGCTTTCATATCAGTTTCTAAAATTCCTGAATCACGTCATATTCTGTGTAGGCATACTAGAATTCTACGCATTAATAAATTAAAAAATCTAATTTCTCAGAATGAAAGAAAATAATATAATAAAATAAATACTACAAACTTGGAACACTAAGCAATGCTTCACATACGCACACACACACACATATTATCAATGAACTCATATTATCAAGTGCAATTACGATACCAAACACTACGTATTAAAATATGAGGTAAACGTTACTTCAAGGGTTAAAGTTTACAGTTTTGCTACTGTTGAGTAGATCGTCGGGCTATCGATATATATCGTAAGTCGGAAAGCGTTATAAACATATCAAACACCAAAAATTAAAAATACAATTTAAATGAAAAATGATGTCTTAATATAATTCACAATTAAACAACAATACAAATTTAAAATACGCAAACCATATATTAAACATTGCACAAAATAAAGTTACATTACTGCTCGGCATCACACACAACCTCGTTCCTTTTACACAACGATCAGTATTCGCCTCGAAAACATCAAAGAAGTCCACAAACTCGGTGTCCATGTGCTCATCCATCAATTTTCACTTAAAGAAAAAGCAGAGAATTGTTCAAATCAGAGAATTGCGCACCACATTGACTTTGCCCATGTGCACATCGATCTATTTTCACTTAAAAAAACATTCCAGAATTGCACAAACTCGGCATCGCGCACAACCTCGGCATTGCGCACCACATTGGCTTTGCTCATGTGCACATCGATCTATTTTCACTTAAAAAAACATCCGAGTTGCACAATTTCGGCATTGCGCACCACTAAAAACCGTCTATACGGTTTTTTCACTCTACTATTTCCATATTTGTTCCACAAATTGGGCACTTATACGATATTGCAATAAAACGTTTCTCCATACACAATAACGTTCTTTTTACCTCTTCGCTCCAACTGATAAAAGAAAATCCAGATTCAGATACTCATCCATTCTGCAGTAAGCACCGATTTTGACACACTCATCAATAATCAAAACATTCTTTAAACAATCTTCTGTATTTTGACAAGTTACGGTTATAATTTTTAACTCAGATTTCAATATTTTCAATCGTTTGATAATGATCGTTTTCAATGGTGTGGTATCTTAATACATTTGTGAGAGATAATTCGTTGCATTAAATGCTAACTCTACCACACAACACACAAAAGTAGATTTATTAATTTAAAAAATCTCGCGCAGAACATTATAAACCTACCATTTCAACTCAGTTAAAATATAATTTAAGTTTTCTTTAAATACAAAGCTATAACATACTTCTTTTTAAGAAGAGGTGTAACCAATATTACGTCATAAAAAGGCGTGTCCAAGCATAAGAGAAGTAAACACAGCATCGACTGATGCAGCCTATTCTGCGATTTAGCCAATTATTCAAGAAATCATAGTATTTTACATCATTAGGGGGCCGAACCATAATCGGAGGGGCCCGTGGTGATAACCGCTGCTGCTGTGCATTACCTGCCTGGGGGTTGACAATGCTGTCAGCAATTTCCATAACATTACCATTAATTACAGTACTAGCACCACAATCAGGGTTATCAACATTAGCAATATCAGGATTAACATTCATACATGGGTCAACAACACTTAAATCAACAACATTTAACTTAGCAAATCTATTTTGAAGGGTAGATCTGGCACAGGTTTAATTAACTTAGATTTGGCCGTCTTAGTCGGCTTTCTAAAATTATCATTACAATCCATTTCATAGGTATCATTTTTACGCTTATTATTATTTTTAACAGAGAACTTATTTTTAATTTTAGAAATAACTCCGCACTTACCCTGTATGTAATCAGCAGCATTCTTGTATAATCCGATCGTTTTGAATATTTCCTGTCGAGCACCGACTTCATCAGAAAATTTAGCGCAAACACGTTTTGCTGCTTTACACAGCGCATCGTATTCAGCAATAATTTTCTTTGCACAAACATTCAATGATTTAATAAGTAGATCAGCACTTGCACGATCCGTAATTGCGATCACATTTATATCCAATTTGCACAAAATTTTCACTTGATTTTTCATCTTCGAAGTCGATATTTTCCAAGAAATTAATTAAATCCGGCATATCAGGAATCGGAACACACGATGCATTTGGATTAGGCTCACTCATCATATCTTCACTACCCGAGCACGAGGTAGGCTTCACTGCGTCATCGGAGCGATCTGACCACGCGGTCGGCGTTTCCGAGTGTAGAATCACATTTCCCGTCAGCGAAGTATCCGGCGAATCAGTCGATCGATTCTCCATAATTCGGTTGTTAGGCGAAGTCGAATCACTCATACTCACAAATCCTTGAAAGCAGCTAAATAAGGCTAAATCCAGAGAAAAGCAAGCAAGAAGTTTCTTCCGACATCTTTCTCAACGTCATGCACAGAAATGAAACATTCCTTAGACCTCTTAGAATCCTTTTCAAATTCCGAAATTTTTGTAGAGCAGCTACTGCGGAATTATTATTGTTTTGGTAAATGAATTTTAAAGAAGAACGCGAGATCTCGTAAACTTATCAACATTGCGAGCAACAAGCACATCCAAAACTAAGTCTCCGCTTTTCTAGGTTTTCTAACAGCTGCTGCATGACCTTGATAAAGATTTGCATTTTATTAAAGGTTTTCAAATTAAAAGCTCTCTGGTGATGCTATTTGTAACGATTTGTTTTCGCTCGAAGAAATGCTCATCGCTTCATTACGTCCAACACAAAATTTCACAATTTTCTGATCACTGTTTTCGCTTGTGGGCAGCTTTGAAATTAGGTTCTTTAATTATAGACATCCTGTGGAGTCTCAAATGGAGCTAAGACTCATTCGCGCTGCTGGTACGATAATTTCTATTTAAATGGAAAATAAATTTTCAATGCTTCCTCCACCTGAAAATATTATTAAGAATATTTTAAAGCATACTATTTTAATTGTTTTATTCTGTTTGTTTTAGCTTTTCTTCATGTTCTACTTGTTTTCGTTTCTCTTCTTTTTGTAGCTGTTCACTAACAGTCGTTACTAAAAAATCTGTCACGAACTGTGGATCTTCCAAATACTGCTTACTCTGGAAAATAATTTCTTTCAGTTCCGTTTTTGTGATCTTTTGAGGCAATGTCGCACCAATTTCTTCGGCAACATACAAAAGTCCTCTTTCTTAAATCCTTTTGCTGACTGAAACATTGTTTCGAATCAGAAGTAACGTTCTGTCACGGTTAAGCCAGAAAATATAAAGAACAAACAGCAATCAAAAGTTACGGATGCCTTTCAAGTCATTCAAATGAACTACAAGTTCTCCAGATGAATGAAACAAGTATTTATTCAGTTACAATGTTGTTCAAATTAGCATTGCTAACATTAAACAACATCAAAATAAGCTGAGAACACTGCATTCTAAACATTACATAAAAACGAAAGCATATGTCCTACTTGAAGACAATAACGATTGTTGCCATTCAGCAAAAGAGAAAGTAATAACAAAAACATTGTAGAAAATCATAGGTGAAAGTAGTAGTTAAGTTTAAATAACGATATTAATTATTATACAATCTTTAACACTTTCCTATGCCCATATTCGCTGTAGGATTACGTCATTCAAAACTGGATGGCTCTAGGTACGGTTGTTTTATCACAGTGCTAGAAACATACATACATTTATGCAGATTCTTCATTACTTAATTTCTTCAAGTATAATACGATAGTATTTGGTCCCATCGATTTGAAAAGTGATACAGCCTTTTAACGTTTTGAACGCAAAATCGCAAAAAAAAAAGCATTAGTTCTTCAGGGACAAAGCCCTCTGGACTAAAAAGAAAATCTGAAAGGTTTCAGATATTACGCCCAGAGGGGCGTGTTTTTAACGTTTTGAGTGTTCCCTTTATTTATTAAATATTATGTTTTTCTCACTTAAATCATAAAGTTCACTTCAACAGGAATATCACAAAATATTTAAAAAGAGCAAATATTTAGAATTCCCGATACACAGTTTCGCATGCCGGAGATAAAAATGTCTCCCCCCCCTCGTAGAGTGTTGCCAGTGCTCGCTTTGGAAATCGTCGAGTTTCTTAATCAGAAACTCATAAATGCTTTACAAAACAAATTCCAAGTTTGTGTTTTCAGGTGCCCATATACGGGCGGAGACGTACGCTATTCAATATTTGACGGCGCTAGGTACCGTTGTTTTATCGTAATGGGAGAAACATACATACATTTATGCAGATTCTTCATTATTTAATTTCTTTAAATACAATACAGGGATCTAATATTTGGTGGCAACAATTTAAAAACTGGTTCGACGTTTATAGTGAAGCAAAGCAAAATACTAAAACGAAATTAATAGTCCTTCTGGGCTTTGCGCTAAAAAAGAAGGAAACAAAAGAAAGGGGGAAAAAACTAAATAAAAAATATGAAAGCTTTTTTAAATTTAATAGTTAGACTTTTTTAACTTCTTGTCTATTACCTTTATTTATTAAAAATCACGTTCTTTGCACTTAAATCATGAAATTCAGTTCAACAAAATAATTTTAAAAGAGCATATCATTAGAATTTCCGATACAGTCTCGCGCGCTAGAGTGTGGGGGGGAAGTTTTGCCATTTCTCGCTTTGAAATCGCTGAGTTTGTTAATAAAAAATTCGTCGAAGTGTTACAAAATGTGAAATCGGTAATAAAACAAATTAGGGCTTCCTCATGCCCATAGTCTATGGAAGATTACATTATTCAAATTGTGTGATGGCTTTAGGTACCGTTGTTTTATCACAATGCGAGAAACACACATACACTCATGCGGATTCTTCATTATTTAATTTAATAATTATTATTATAGCAGAGTATATAAAGAGAGTAAAATAAGTATTGCTTATTCTTCACAGACATGTGTCTTAAATTTTCTACGGATAAGTAGAACCGAAAAACATATAGCAGTGAGTTCCAATCTAATTAATGACATACATGACATCAGGGAGGTTAGAATACATGGAGATGGCGTCCCTGCTATTGAAGTATAAATAAAGTGAAGCAGGGGGAAGGAAATAAGCCACGCCACGTGAGGGCAAGAAAACGATTATCTCATTAAGGGAAGTGAGCTAAAACGCCAGCTGGTTTCAAGTTCTCAGTGTGTTTTCTGATTTTGTATGCGTACATGTGAAAGGCCTAAAAGGCACAGAATTGTTACAGCCAAATAATGTCTACATTTCTGACTTCATGTCCATGTAAAAGAATGTTTTAAAACGTGCATAAACAAGTAGAATAATCGAAATGTGTGTTTCAATGGCCTTCAAGAAAGAGTTTGAGTATTTTCTTTGTGTAAAGTACACGAAGAAACATATATAGTTCTCATATTTACCTTTTCATAGTAATAATAAAACTGATATTCGTAATTAACTTATATGAGATGGGAAAACGATAAATAAACAAGTGGAGGGGGCGTGGCTAGCTCTCCATGGAAAAGAAAACAGTTTACTTTAATGTCTGATCATAATTACACTACAGGTTGTACCTTTTATGTGTTTAACTACATTTTAATTTGTGCTCAAGTAAATATATAAATAACCGGATGTGATTTTTAGTCAAATTTGTTGTGTGAATTTTAAAATAACAACGTAAAATTTACATATTTCTATCATTGTTTATTCAAATTAAGTTTTTTCGAAACATAAGTAATATTTATAACATTGAAAAATTTGAGAATTATATATACTTAGAAAATAATAAATATATCAAGTACATAGTTAGTACATAGTTTGAGTACATAATTACTGTTCTGTGTTAACAATACTTTTAATGCTAGCATTCATTAATTACAGCATGCAATTACATAATGTAGAAATTATTGCGATTACATAAATTAGAAATTATATTAGCAATTACATAATGTAGAAATAAAATGAAATGGCGAGAAAAGTAAAGGCAAAGAGGACGTGAAGATCTGCGATCCTTTACGACTACCAGGAAACAAAATTGGGTGTGGTTAGAGCACGTCAATCTTTCTAAGCCACGACTACTAAGGGCATGCTTTCCCCCTTTTTTGGCTTCACTTGGACTGCGTGCAGGGCATCTCCATGTATTCTAACCTCCTTGCATGACATTAATCACAATGAATCATATATAAAATTTTGAGACTGCTAGCGTTGAATACCAAGCAATTTATTATAGCGATACAGTGATTTGGAAGGTATTGCTCACAGGTTCATTTATTCCATGAGGATCGTGAGTGCGATATCACTAGAAATAGAGAGTAGTAACTTGCATGAAATAAAAGAAATTTTAAAAAACGTAAAAATCGGAAAACTTTAGGATTTTACCTTACGCCCAAAGGGGACGTTTTTAATGAAATAGATAATAAAACAAATTCCAAATTTGGGTTTCTAGTTGCCCAAATTCGAGTGGAGGACTACGTTATTCAGAATTTGATGGCTCTAGGAATTGTTGCTTTTTCACAATGCGAAAAACATACATACAGTCATATACATTCTTCATTATTTAATTTCTTTAAATGTAATGCAGGGCTCTAATAATTGGTGGCAATAATTTGAAAAGTGAACCGAAATTTACAGTGAAACAACGCAAAATGCGAAAACGAAATTAATAGCCCTCTGGGCAAATTGCCACTTTGGGCTTAAAAAAAGGGGGGGGAGAAAGAAAGAGGAAACCTGCAAAGGAGGAATAGTATAGTAGAATACGGCTTACTTTTTAAAGTGCCACCATTTATATTAGGAACGTCATATTATATTTGTATTTAATTTTATGTTATTATTTTTCACTACTTCCTGCATTATTATTTAAAAATTATTTAATTTTGAGCAATACTTAATTTCAGGATATTAAGTTGTATGCCGAAGATTAGCTGTAAAAATTAAATGGTTTATTTTATCCACACTTAAATTTCTAACAGATGTTTATCAGATGGAAATTTTTGCTTTATAAATTAGTATGTTGGACTTGATACGTTTGTAACGAGAATTAACATAAAATAAGGCATTTTTTTAAGCCATTCCTTTTGAAATTTTGGATTTTTCTAGATGAATTCGAAAAATTTAAGATAATCTTCTGAATTATCACGCTGAATAGATCTGCGCAAATGTTTAGTTATGTCTACAAATATTTCATATTTAAAAAATATGAATAACTGATTATAATCAAATAAGAGCAACTCTATTTTCAAAATG